GAGTCCTGGTTGGGACAAAGGCTGTGTTACATTATCAAAAGATAAACACCATTTTTAATTTAGTTAATGTGGATAACATTTATTTTTCACTTTGCTTTTCTTATTATTTGATTATCATTCTATTTATATCATAGTGTTTTGCCTCAATGTCTCACACATTCATGCTGCTAACAGAAGGTATCTCAGGAAGCTGGAAGCAGGCATTCACACGGGAAAAGTTCATCTTTTGTCTTCTCCACTGTAAGAGGAAGCAAGGGAGTGTGAACTTTTCTCTGGTTGAAGACCAAAGGTGTGAAAACAGCTGTGTACTGCCTTTTGGTTCTGTAGAAGGTGTTTATACCCAAGGCTCTGTTGGGTTTATTTAATGGAAAACTTTCACAACAACTGTGTGAAAGTTTACATAACTCAGAATAAACTGTATCATCACAAATCAGACATACTCTTCAGTTATGCAGACATCCAACTTTTAATACAAAGATTAAAGTTTAAACTATAATTCAGATACATTCTGTTGGCACAGAAAATTAAGCTTATGCATAATTTCAATAAGGAAGATGTGTAATAAGTCATCTGTCTGCTTCCTGGTGGCTGCCAGTTTATATCTATTCATTTTCCAGCACAAACTCAGTACTGACATCATTACTTTATTCCAGTTATGCTCTTGCCTGCCTTCACCGAGCATGCCAGCCTCCACTCTGCATGCTTTAAATCTGTTGCTATTCTGCTTCTGCCATTCTGCATTTCAGATCCTCAGCTATGCAGCCCGCCTCCTCTCCTTTCTCCTCCTCACCGTGGTCACTCAGAACCCTGTCCCAGCCTCCATCTTCATCACTACCAGCATTTTGACTCTGGGGTGTCGCTCATGCAAAATCCTGTCACTGCTGAGATTTCTTCTGCTATAATGGGTCACTGGAGTCTAACTGCCTAACAGTTACATTTATTTCTGTATCTCAATAAATCCTGTTCGGTTTTTCCACATGATCTCTCCTTATTGAACTGCTTTTGTAGATAAGCTTCAAGCCAGAAAGCAACAATACCTAAACCAAAAATATTATCATCAGAAGTGAGAAAGTGTCTGGACTATCTCCAGCTGTGTTGCATGTATTAAAGATAACTTCAGACACTGTCTGGTTGTCATGTCTGAAACAGGCTGTACAGTCACACAGATAAAAGACAGCAGTCATGTTTCTAATATTACAAATCAACCAGAAAGATTATGAAGATAAAAGCTGTGAGACCCCACTAGAGAACGGATGGCTTGTTATCATTACATGAAGTGATTTAGAAATAATATGTTAGCTTTCAGGGCAGCACTCAGAGCTTTTTAAAACTGAATACCTGAGGGTCAGCACACACAGATATATAAACATACAGGTAAGAGGTTATAAAGAAGAGAGCTGTGCTGATATTTTTACAGAACAGAATTTAGTTACATTTTTATATTTACAATCAGTTTTTATTTATATAAACAAAATAAACATTACAAAACTAGAACTAAACTATATTATGTACAATATCAACAGTTTCTCCCCTATTTCCTTTTTTCTTCCACCCATCTTTGTCTCTCTGCCTCGTAGAAAGGAGACTCCTGAAACTCCTTCCAGGTCATCTCCTTGGCCATGCCCTTGTCCCTGTACAGAGAATGCACTTTTGAAGGGCAGTAGATATATTTCCCTGCCACTCCAGGGAAGCCTGTGTGAACATGTGGGCTATTTGGGCCCTGTTTCAGGTCCATGTGGCAGAACCTGCAGAGGCGGCCTGTTTGTTGGGTTTCTGGCCTTTTCCTCTTTTTCTCCATCCTTTCCTCTGACCTCTTCCTGGTATCATCCAGTTCCCTTTGGAAAAAGTCTGTCTGGGCAAATTCCTCAAAGGGCATTTTAGGGTCAGTGATTCCCTCAGCAGCATAAGTTTGATGCACCTTCTTGGAACAATAGAAATAGCGCACAGGCCCTCTCTGGTAAAAGTAATGGACGGTGGATCCATCTGTCTCATATTGAGACTTGGGTTGTCCACAGGCAAGACAAGTCTTTGTCTGCCTTTTTTTCCCCTCAGGCTGCTGCTGCTGTGGCTGCTGCTGCTGCTGTTGCCTTTCTAAGATGCCCTCCACAATCTTCTCTATTGAGATTTGTGTCAGTGGTGTAGACGGGGCGGGAGGAGGCGGGTTAAACACGGCAGGCTCTATGGTGACTACAGGGACACTAGTTGTTTCACTGCCTTCAGTTAAAGAGTGCCACAACTGCTGAGTCTCCAGAAGTTTTTCTGGGCTTATGTTCAAAGATGACTTGGTGTTGAGAAGTTTTGCCAAGTGCTTCACATACCGGGATATGTGCACCTTGGATGTGGGATGCAGCAGGCTGTTGGGATCATTAGCAGAGCGATGGACCATGTCTGCATAATCTTGATCCACAAGCTTCAGCATGTCCTTCTTCCCATGGTACTTTTGCAACAGACCATCTATTGCGTCTTTCATGGGTCGTGTCCAGCGTGTGTGGTCCAGCACAAAAACCCGTCCACCTGTTTTTATAGGTCCAGTGCGAGCACTCCTTGGTGAGGCCCGCAGAGGCAGAGCTTCAGAGATTTCTGGGAAACAATAGTAATAGTTACTCATATATCATGTAATGAACTAATAATAATAACGTACATATTAATAATAATAATAATAATAATGATAGTAATCACACGGAATTATTTAACAATACCATTATGTTAACTTACCCATGACTGTTGTAGGTTGCTGGGTGTCTTCTGATGCTAACTCCTGCTTTAAAGGTGCACCAGAGAAAGGGTGGGTGACAGGTGGTGCTGGTGCGGGGGATGCCACACCAAGCGGTGCCAGGCTGGAGAAGGGTCCCGCTGCTGGAACCTGAAGTTGGGCAGCCACAGGTTTTGGAAGAGAGGACGGGGGCTGAAGGGTGGCCGGTTCATCTTTTCTCAGAGTTTTGTGTTTGTCCCAGTTCAGAGGGACTGGACGGCAGCCTGGCTCTCTGTATTCAAGCCCAAATCGCTCTCCAGTGTCTCTGTCAGAGAGGTGAAGTGCAGGGTACTTCTCCTGACCAGTCACTCTTCTGGAGGCTGCATTCAACTCCACCACTAGAGCTGGATC